AAAGTGTTTAGTGGACAATGGGCAGTGTCTTCTCTGTGATCCATAGAACAATTCTGGCTTCCAGTATAAGTTGCCAGGGCTATGCAGCCTAGTGTGGAGCCAACAAAAGAGCCAACTCACTATTCTTACCTTGAAGGTCTTAAAGAACTCGTCACTGATAACTTAACAGCAACAGCTTTCCTAGCCCAAATGTCCTCAATCTTTCCACAATCCACCCCAATTCAACAGGGTCAGTTCTATTACAAAAAACCCACACTTCTGGTAATAAATTGTCTTATTTTGGCATATTATTGCTGTGATGAAACACCTTGACAAGACCAACATTGTGATGAAAGGGATTATTTGGTTTACACTACCATATCACTGTGCATCATCAAAGGAAGTCAGGACCAGAACTCACATAGGACAGGAGAGTGCAGGAAAGAACTAAAGGAGAAGTGATAGAGTGATGTTTATTACTGGCTTGCACACTGTGGATGCTCAGTCTGCTTTCTTATACATTAGTGTGGGTAGTCCTTCTGTCTATGTTTTGGCACCCACGTGGCCAACTAAATCCACTTAAAAACCTGAGAAAGAGGTTGCTGCGCTGCCTCGCCCGAGTCATGGTCCTTGCTCCGAATCTCCCAGCAGCAGCCGCCGCCGCCACCCCGTGACGCCCGCTTCCAGTCGTCTGCCGAGTCCCACGCCTCGCCGCGCTGTGACCGTCGTCTCCGTCCCGCAGCGAGAGTTCGCTCTGAGCGGCCGCCTAGCGCCGCCCGGCTTCCTCGGGGCCCTCCGGATGGTGAGCCCGGCCCCGCCGCCCTTGCCGCGCCTTCCGGACCCGCGCGCGCTGCCTCACACCCTCTTCCTGCCGCACTTGCTCGAGGGAGACGGCCTGTGCCTGGCCCCCGCGCCTCGCACCGCTGCGCCGTCCGGCTGCAGCCCGGCCCGGCGGCTGCCCCGCGGGCGGCGCCCAAGAAGCGGCCGAAGAAGAAGGTGCGGACAGCCCGGCCCGACAGCTCCCCAGCCGCTTCCACCAGTTCCAGCAGCACCGGCCGAGCCTGGAAGGCGGCCACAGTCCGACCCCGGGGCCGACCGCGGCGCCGGAGGAGCAGGGCCCGGCGGCCACAGCCCTGCTACACCGACAACCCCCGCTCGCCAAGGAGGTGTTAAAATCAAAGATGGGAAAATCGGAGAAAACTGTCCTTCCCTACGGCCAAGAGATGGCTCAGTGGTTAAGAGCATTGCCTGCTCTTCCAAAGGTCCTGAGTTCAATTCCCAGCAACCACATGGTGGCTCACAACCATCTGTAAAGGCGTCTGGCACCCTCATCTGGCCTTCAGACATACAGACAGAATATTGTATACATAATAAATAAATAAATAATAGCAGATCTTTTAAAAAATAATAATAATAATAATTTGGCCTCCCCCCTTTAAAAAAAAAACCTGAGAAAGCATGAAAAGAAATTCTAGACAGAAAAAACAAAGGTTAGCTACTTTTTTTTTTCAGCTGGTGGCTTGCCACAGCTCCTTTAAGAAAAGTTCGCCTGAGTCAGCGATAGCGGAAAAGCCATGCAGTTTTGAAATGGCGGCTTGCCGGGTAGTGGTGGCGCATGCCTTTAATCCCAGCACTAGGGAGGCAGAGGCAGGAGGATTTCTGTGAGTTCAAGACCAGCCTGGTCTACAAGAGCTAGTTCCAGGACAGGCTCCAAAACCACAGAGAAACCCTGTCTCGAAAAAAAAAAATGGCGGCTTTCTGTGTCTTACTGCCAGTGCAAAATCTGACTCTTTCAGGCAGGAGGTCTGGCTACAGAGTATTTCCATGAGGTTTGTGAGCAGACAGCTGCAGCTTGCTTAATAGCAACATAGACTTACTGTGTGCCTGAGAATGAAGTTGTGTGCATGGCTCTCAGAGGCATGAGTGGCTCTGCCATGCTGGACTGAACAGGCAAGCAAGAAGTACTGTATATACCATAGTAATGACACAACTTCAGTTTTAAGAAGCGCTTAGCATTTTAAAAAGCTCCCTGAACAGTAAAAGAATTATAGATATGCAATAAAGACAAATTCAGATGAGTCATAGTGTTGGATAAATGTACATAGGCTTGGAAGGGAGAACAAAAAAGTATAAAGAGTCATAAAATAAAGGTAATGCTTTAAAAAAGAGTAAAGTCTTTAAAGAGACAGATACAGATAGTCATAGATGAAAAGGAATAAAGAAAAAATAAGCCACATAAAAATGAAAAATTCACAGAGAGTATTATTGTGCATATTATTGCATTATCTTTAATTTTTTTTTTACTGTGAATGAGTTAAATACAGACATTTTATTGTATTGGCTGCTAAGCTAAACCAGCATGTATATTATAAAGGTATCATGACTTCCAAAGGATATGTTGCTTTGGAAAAGAGGCTCTTCTCTTGTTCCACAGAGGTTGAGAACCTGTGGGTTGCTTCCACACTGGTGTGGTTTGATAGACCACAACCCCCTGAAAGGTCACCGTGAACACCCCCAAATAATTACTTTGCAGAACTGCTGACTGAGATGAACCTACTATACAGGATACAACATAAAAGACCTGATTATCAGCAGAAAACAATATGGAGAAAATGTACCCTTTTTCCTAAATATTATTCATAAATGTTTATTTAAATTTAAAGAAGATATGCTATAGAGATTTGCATTGGAATGGACCTTGGTTAATGATACAAATTTAAGGTCAATTTTGTTATATGTGTATGTATTTCTGATCTTGATTAAGGTATTGTGTTTGTTTAGCTCATTTAAAATGTAATGCATAATTAAGAAATATAAGTTCATAGATAATCATCTATAATAGTCAAGTTTGTATTGATGTTAGTTAGATTTTCTAGATATATACAGATATATTTCATATGGATAGGTATTCTTCAAATCTTTCAAAAACCTTCAGAATATGGCATTTAAAATGATTTAAGAACTTAAGACTTTTCATGACAATGAGGCGCATCTGTTCCTGGCAGCACCAAGCTACTTCAAGAGGACGACGGGCATTGAAGAGACTCCTTATGGAGTTAGTTGACCATTTGGCAAGAAACTGCTCTTGCCTGGACTGCATAAATAAACTGGACATGCAGGACCCAAAGAGAAATGACTGCTAAACTTGCCTAAAGGTGAAAGGATTTTTTAGATTCCTGCAACATGAAAATGTCTGCTACACATTTGGCAAAACACAATGAGAATGTGTTGGACAAACTGCCATGATACGTGGAATGTCTTTGAAATTTCCTGCTTTGTGAAAAAATCTGCTGGATACTATGAGACTATAGGCTGAAGATGGATGCCCCAATGGTACAGAAAAACTTTGGGCGATTATCCAGGAAGTAAGATGTTTCTCTCAATTCTAGAACTTTATAAGTTGCTTACAATGTACTTTCTGCTTACTTAGGTAATCCTATATATTCATCTGGAGTCTTTGATGGAGTTGAAAAATAGATAATTATAGTTTTCTTTTTTGTTGATTTTTTTTCTTTTTTATTTATTAAAAATTTCCACCTCCTTTCATTTCCCTCCCCCTCCCCCTCCCGTCCCAAGAGAAGTCAGGGTTCCCTGCCCTGTGGGAGTCCAAGGCCATCCCCCATCCATCCAGGTCTAAGAAGGTACGCATCCTAACAGACTAGGCTCCCAAAAAGCCAGTACATGCAGTAGAAACAAGTCCCAGTGCCTTTATCAATGGCTTCTCAGTCAGCCCTCATTGTCAGCCACATTCAGAGAATCCAGTCTGATCACATGCTCATTCAGTCCCAGTCCAATGGGCCTTGCTGAGCTCCCATTAGATCAGTCCCACTGTCTCAGTGGGTGGATACACCCCTCGCGGTCCTGACTTCCTTGCTCATGTTCTCCCTCCTTCTGCTCTTCATCTGGACCTTGGGAGGTCAGTTCAGTGCTCCAATGTGGGTCTCTGTCTCTACCTCTATCAGTTATGATAAAAGATAAAGTAAATAGAAATATTGTAACTATAATTCTTGCTTGATAAATGGTTTGTCATATGTAATTTTGCTGTTTTAAAGCTTTCCTTTATGTTTAAACAGAAAAGGGGAAATGGTATGGAAGGTCCTTCTGCCTGTGTGTTGCTTTTATTGATTAATGAATAAAGAATTGCTTTGAGCCTATGGCAAGGAAGAACAGAACTAGGCAGGGAAAGTTAGGCTGTGTGCTGGGAGAAAGGAGGCAGAGTTAGAGAAATGCCACGTAGCCCCACCGGAGACAGACACTGGAATTTTAGCTGGTAAGCCACAGCCACACGGTGATACACATATTAATAGAAATGGGTTAAATTAATATGTAAGAGTTAACCAATCAGAAGCTAGTGCTAACGGGTAAAGCAGTGATTAAATTAATATATATGGGTGTGATTATTTTGGGGTAAGCTAGCCAGGCAGCCTGGAAACAAGAAGCAGCCTCCCACTACAACAGAACCCAGAACCTCCAACCCAGGGGAAGCCCTGCCAACAATAGTCTGCTCCCTTCCTCATCAATAACTAGGCTTGCCCACAGTTAGTTGTTATGGGGGTATATTCTCTATGGGGTTCCCTTCTCTCACACAACTGTAGCTTGTTTCAAGTTGGGATAAAAATAAAGAGTACATCTGTGCTCCTACTTAGCACCAATAGGATGGTATAATGTTATATAGCATGTATACATGATTGCATATATGTATACACACATATAGAGCTAAATAGATTTTATCATGTTAGAATTCAACTGAGGGTCTTGCACATACTTTAAGGGGCTCTAACTCTGATCTCAAGTCGTAGCCCCTAATGAATAATTCTGACAAGTTTGCAAAAACAAACAGATACACAAGACAAGACCACTATGGAAGGAAGTGTTCTTTGAGGAATATGAAGACAACAGATGAAAATGCAATGTATTCAACTCTCTTTTTCACTTAGTAGTATTTTAATATTTAATACAATAAAACTTATATCATTGCAATAGGAAATACTTAAAAACAATGAAAACTCTATTACAACTTCCTATGGTATTATGTGACCATAGGAGAAGAAAGGCCAGACACGGTACTTAAAAGTATTATGAGGATATCTGTATATGAGGGAACTCTTGGCAATATTCAGGAAACTTAAATATCCAGCCTCACAATCAAGGAACACACCAATCTTGTCCAGTGGCTTCTCTATATAGTGATGGATTACTGGGTTTGTGGTGAGGAGACTGTAATGATTACCCTCCTTCACACAGAAAAGAAGAAATGCACCCTCAGTTTCAACTTCTCTGTTTCTATTCATTAACCAGGAATTGGTACAGACTCCTACAGCCCAGTCACTAGAGTCCTTCAAATCCAGTTCCCAGTAATATTTCCCTGAGATGAAGTTCTGTGATCCCCAGGAGGCCAAATAGCATCCAACAGGATGCACAGATGTATACTGATGGTGAAGTTTGAAGCCGGCTCTTCTCATGACATTAAATAGGTTCTTCTTAAAATTCAATAAAAATAATTTTTCAAAGGAAATGTGCACTGTGAAAAGAATAAACATTTTAGTTAAAATGACCATTTGTATTTGAGGTGACAAAGATCCTGAGAAATTTTTGGTTTTCAAAAACTGGCTTAGATTAAAGGTTAAATTCATCAAAGCCAAGAATTAGTGCAAGAAACAGAGTGGTAGCATGATGAAAAGTTTTATGAAACATTTTGTAGGTGCTGTAGATGAGGGAGCCTCAGTCTACCTCTGACAGGTGACTTCTAGTTACACCTGACAAAGGGAAGATGTGTGTACTGCAGTCAGGGTCACAGCAAAGGCTGCCCTTTTTGGTCTACATAAAAAGTTATTACTAAGATATGACCAGTATTTGCTTTCATATTGGTGTTTGTTCTTTCCATAAAATTTTTGTACTTATTCTAAAGGAAGAGCTAAATTTACTTTAGAAGTAGTTCCCTATTAGCAATTGTCCTCCTTTAACTTCTATTTCCTCTGATACTCTTTCCCTGTGAGGTTGAAATTGACTTTTAGATATACAAGGGGGATTGAGACACTGCCTCATGACCCATCAATTAGTTTTGTATCCTTTGTTCATGATACATGGCTTTATCTGTTTAGTTATTTTATGATTTTTCTTTTTCAGTTCCTTTTAAGAAAGGGTATTACTATTTAAACTTGACTGACGTGGAACTCACTATGTTGACAAGACTGCCTTCAAACTCTCTCTATGGTATTGATGGGATTACTACCATGCACCACTATATCTTGTGTAATTTTAATCAATGAGCTATAATGGAAGGTAAGAAATCTATTGCTAAAATGTGCAAAGGGACATAATCAAATATCTCCACAGGTGGGTACTCTTAATTTGAATTAGACTGTACTCAGTTAATTAACCACTCTGTATGCCTCAATGAAAAACTGATACTCTCTGTTCAGTCAGTATTACACACAAACTAATATACTGGTATTCATTTTTGTTCCTTTGTTTGCGAGATAACCATGAAATTAAGAAGATTACAAGACACATTTCTCAGGCATTAAAATATATATGTTTGCAAAGGTTATCTCATGATGTAAGAGTACCTCTGCTATTTTCATCATTGCTCACACTCACCTTTAAAGTGGTTAAAACTTTCAGTCAGTCCAGTAATGGGGAGGGCAGAGAGTTCTGGTTTCATAGCTTGGGGTATACTCAGCTCCACTGCCTCACTCCTGCAAGGAGAGGAAAATAATGATTTGTATGGTGCTAAAGATATCATCACAGTTATTCAGAAAAACCTCACTCCAACTTTAGCCAAACACTCTTGGGTAGATTCCCTTGAAACACAAGCCTGACAATTTGAGTTCAATTTCTGTAACCCATGGTGTAAGGAAAAGCTTTCTCCTGTAATTTGTCCTATGATCTCCACACATGTGTAGTGCTACTTTTGCATGAACATGAACACACATATCTCCACATGAATATGACAAATTATGTTTTAAAAATCCATAAACAGATCCTATACAAAAAATAAAATATTCTCTCTATAAAGTATATATGCACTTTTCTAAGGCAGTTTAATCAATTTTACAGCAATTTCAGGGTACCCCAACTTGCACCAATGGCTAAACTCACCTTCTCAATATAATATCCACATTCTGCAAAGAAAACAAGAAAAGTTTAGAATCCTGGAGAAGTGAAATACAAAGTTTGTTTATAAAGTTCCTATAAAAGACAGGCTGCATCACACTATCTAACCTGAAAATTTATATTTAATTAGCAGGTTAATGCTAACAAACAGATTAGCACAATTCTAACTCTTGATGAAATCAGCTGTGAGAGTAAATTATGAGAAGCACGTAGATACTGATTATACATTGACGTGGAAACCCCAGCTAGCTGCCAAAGGTGTTTCACTGAGCTGAAACACAAAGCACAGAGGAATACTTTAACTAAGGGTATTTCAAATGTATGACCTCTCCCATGCATGCTGCCTCATGCCTCAAAGTATGGAATTGCCAGGTTAGATGCCCCAAGATTACTGTGAGTTGTAGGTGATCATGATCCATAGTCTAGAACCCTATCTCAAAATCCCATCCTCCTATATATCTCTCAAAATTACAACATTCAAAAAGAAGTAATTAAGTAACAGCATTCTTTGAAATTATGCACAGTTACCAAGTAGAGGATATAGAGTGTAAGAAATGCAACATTAAATTTCAGCTTTCACAGAGGCAAGTTACAAAATCAAAAATAAGGACATATTTCTTGGAGAATCTACTAATACAATTTTTATTTAAAAAAATCTTGTTCTGGCAAGATTTATTAGAGAATTTAGTTTCTCCAGATTATTACTGAAAAAGAACCTCCTAAAATAAATGCAGGAAATGTTAAAAAAAATAATCTTAGTATAACAATCACCAGAGTGAGCCTAAGACAATAAAACCTTTGTCTGCACTCCTCCCTTCTCACCTGGAGTAGTACCACATATGGCTCCTGGGACATCGCCATGAGTTCCTGAAACATTTCTCTTAGTTGTTTGCTCTTTTGGATCATCATGGCTTCACTTTCTCCGAGTTTCTCTAAAACACAATCGCCTTCATTTTTCATGCACACAATATGTTGATCTTCCTGTTCATGTGGGACTGAACACCATTTCCTATACTCCGTCCTGATCATGTCTTCCCTCATAACCAGGAAGTTCTGAAGAAAACAAGACATTGTCAGGGATTTTTGGAACGTATTTATTAATCCTACTCTATTGCATCCCTCTAGGCTTAAATTTGACAAAGGACTCCTATCACTGTGCTACATACACTCTGAAGGATGTCAGAAATGAAAATTCCGTGGTTTCATTTATTCTTTCAAATTTCCTTCTTAATGAAAATGTCTGCTGGATAGATACTATGGGTCTGTAGGCTGAGATGAATGCCCCAATATTATAGAAGAACTTTGGGTGACTGTCCAGTTGGCGAGATGTCTCTGTCAAGTCTAAAGATGTGGAAGTTATTTACAATTCACTTCCTGTTAAACTTAAGTAATATTATAGCCTTCTGGGATCTTTAATGGACTTGAAGAATAAATAGTTATGATTATTGTTTTTCTTAGTTATGAAAAATGTAAAGTATGTATACATACTGTAATTCTAATTCATGATTTAAACCTATTTGGTTACATGTAATTTTACTAACTTAAATCCTTCCTTTTTATTTAGACAGAAAAGGGGAGGTAATGTGGCATTCGCTTCTGTATGTTGTGAATATATTTTGTTGCCATTAGTTAATAAAGAAGCTTCTTAAAGCCTCTGGCAGGGCAGATTAAAGCAAGGTAGAAATTAAAAGCAGAAATAGAAGTGAAAGTAGCCAGTGTCAAGGAGACACCACGTAGCCACCAAAGGAGAAAGATACCAGCCACCAGCCAGAACCTTACCAGTAGGAAATGAGCCTCATGGTAATACATAAAATAAGAGGAATTGGTTAATTTAAGATGTAAGAGTTAATAAGAAGCCTAAGATAACCGGTTGAGCAGTGTTTTAATTAATAGTTTCTGTATGATTATTTTGGGTCTGGGTAGCCGGGAATGAATAAGTAGCCTCCATCAATACAAAGGCAATGAAATCCTAAGAATTTCCACCAATATAAAAAAAATTTCACTAGTAGAATTAAAAAGAGGTAGATGTGTGAAATTTAGTAATAGATGTGGTAAAGTTATGTATATATATATAGTCTAAAATAAACAAAATTGATACAATTAACACAAAAAAAGGAAAGAAATGAACAAATGGAGGGAGAAAGAAGGGAGGAAGGAAAAGGAATAAAGCAGTTCAAAATAAAAAAAAACAGGGCTGCCTGAAGGAATGGTATTGATTGATAATTCATATGTTCATGCAAATATGACACTCTGTATACATTCATTAGAATTCATGGGGCAATCCTAGAGTCTAATGCAGTGTGTTGTACTCTCAGCAATACACTCAATAGTCTCAGACTCTTTTGCCATACAGCCAGGCCATCTTCCCGCATGCAGAGCGCTATTTCACACTCAGAATTCAAGGCCATCATCACATGTTTTCAAGTATCATATCCCATGCCTTATACTGAAACCTTGAATGACGATTTGGGAAAATAAGTATCTCAACCAGATTTTCAGCATAAATCTCATACTCACTCTAAACAATAGTTTCATTCTGCACTCTGCCTCTAGATTCTCTTTAACTTCTTGGATCTTCTTCTGTAAAAATGCCATTTGCTTTAGAAGTCTCTCCTGTAAGAAACAATAAATATCAACTTTTGATAAACAGTGATAATGTTCAGACTCTTGGACATTAAATAAAATAACTTTATCAAGAAAACAAGAATAACTATATTCCTTTTTTATTTTAGGTAACTTTGAATTTTAATTTTAAAACACATAAATAGAATATGGCATATCTATTTGTTCAGGTAAAGTGATAATTATGAGTGATAGCTAGATAATTTACATAATTCCCACAGGATTCTCTTTAGCTGACTCCATTGTATTTTCTAATTTAGTCACCAGTCATATACACTTTTAAAAGATATGAATACAGTATATCACTTTCCAATGACCTGGGAATAATGTATAATAAAACACAACTTGATCTTACACCCATGGGTCTCCCTAGGAGTGTTCACATTATAGTCACTCTTTCTTCACTAGCTGCTAATAAAGTGCCAACATTCAGAAATGAGTGGATTCCTCATAATCAAAACCAGCATCTTCCTGTTGTCCACTGAGCCTCACTCTCCAGGTTTCATGTTCTCTCAGGAGTATCACTCACCATTTCACCCTCAGCAGCTGCTTCAATGGAAGAGTGTCTGTGACCTCTGTGTATGAGGGAGTCAGAGCAGAGCTGACAGAGGTAGATCCTGGTCTCCATACAGAAGATCCCCTTGGTCTCCTTGTGGATCACACACTTATTCTCCTCCGAAATCAGGTACTTCTTGAGGCTGGCTTGTTTGGCGATGGACACCAGCTTCTTCAGAACAATGTTGGTTCTGAAGTCCTTCCGCTTGGTTCGTTTCCTACATGTAGGACAATGGCCTGGAAGGAGACGGTCTTCCCAGAAAAGGTGGAGGCAGACTCGACAGAAGCTGTGGCCACAGTTTATGGTGACTGGGTCTATAAGGTAGCTCAGGCAGATAGAGCAGTTGAGTTCTTCAGTGACGGTTCGTGAGAAGTCTGACTCCATTTTGCTGAAGGAAGAAAATCAGAATTACCATTATTACACCAAGAGAAGGAAAAAAACTTCATAAAATTTGATTAAAGTTGTAATTCTGTTATGTCTAAAACAAAGCATTATTCATATTTGGTGTCCAAAAATTCATATAAGCTTAGAACTAAGTTTTTAATTTTTTTCTTATTCACTCTTCTTCACATGAATAGAGATTGATATGATGAATTTCTGTGCCCTACAATCTGCATCTTTTTCAGAGACTCCATTCAAATTAAGAACTTTGTTCAAGGTCTGAGACAGGCTCTCTCAGTGTTTATGAATAAATTTACACCGGCGTGATCAAGGTACTTCAAGTACACAAGTTAGTCTTTTACTACAGATCTATTTGGTTTAACACTTCCCTCTTTGGTTGTCTATTCAAGAGAACAATCTCCAAAAAACAGGATCCCTAGTAAATGTTTTGCTTTCTGGTTGTAGCATCTTACTCATTATCATATTATCCCTTCCCCTTAACACATGAAGGCAACCTTAGTTAATTGTCTTCTTTCTGCTGCAAATGCCTAAAAAGAATAAGATTTTATGTTTACTCATAATTCAAGAAATGGTGGCATAAGCTTGAGTTAGCTGATCTCATGGCCCTGACACCAAACACTTAAACAGTGTTTATGAATTGCCAACAGCATGCTTCTTGTTGGTGTCAGGGACCTTGTAACACCACGGAGTTGTGACAATAAACATGGCTCCAGACAGTACCTCCGCCATGAAGCTAGGCTCTCAGAAACCTAAGGAATGGGATGGATCCAAAAGTCAAAGCAACAGCTTTACTCTTAGCCATATCATTTAGAAAATTAAAGATTCATGTGGTCAGAAAAAGAGATAAAGAGTAAAAATAGATTCAAAGACAAAGAAAACCTCTAAACAGTTAACAGTGTGTTTAAAAATATGTGTAGGCTTGGGAGAGAAAAGATAAAGGATAAAATCCTTAAATTAAAAAAGAAAGAGAGCAGGAAGGTGTGGTAGCACACACCTATAATCCCAGCATTTGGCAGGCAGAGGCAGGCAGACCTCTGTGAGTTCAAGGTGTGGTGGCATAACACCATTAATCCCAACACTTTGAAGGCAGAGCAGGCAGATCTCTGTGAGTTAAATGTGTGGTAGTACACACCTTTAATCCCAACACTTTGGAGGCAGAGGCAGGCTGATCTATGTGAGTTTAAAGTGTGATGGCATACACTTTTAATCCCAGCTCTTGAGAGGCAGATGGAGGCAGATCTCTGTGAGGCAAGGACAGCCTGATCTGCAGAGTGAATTCCAGGACAGCCAAAGATACACACAGAAACCCTGTCTCAAAAAGCCAAAAATTAAAAATAAATGAAATAGAATTTAAACTAAAACCACATAAAGATGGAAAACACACAGACAATCTGGATACTATATGTTATTATGTTCTCTTTGAATTGTTTTAATGCTGAAGAAGGAGCAACAGCTGCTAAAAAAACATTTGATTATAAATGTTGCTGGATTAATTCAACATACATTTTTGAAAATGCTTTGACTTCAAAATTTATGTCAAAACATACGTTGGAGAAGAGATTTTGTTTTTGTTTCTACAGGAAATGAGAGGACGTGGATTCATTCTAGGCTAAGAAAACTCAGGTTTCATCAATAAGACGCCATGAGAAATCTCCGTAGGAGCAGATGACCCAGATGATCCAACGTTTCAGAGGACCTCTGTTGTAGTTTCCTCTGAGTTCTACATCCAGAACAGTTCCAAGACTGCTAGCTGGGATAATCAAGTTGTATGGATAATGGTCAGGAAGAAAGCTAAACAAGCGAGATTCAATTCAGAGACTCACACATCTATGAAGGGCATGAATAAATGCTCTAAAAATATTCTTTAAATTTAGACAACAATCAAAATTGAAAAGTGAAAGGTAAGTACCTTAAACATTTACTTTTAGGGCAACAAAAAATTGTGTATAGATAAAACTAAAATTATCTATCGCAGTAACTCACATGATATTGACAAATAAAGATGACCAGATGGGAACAGAATATTTTTGGTAGTGACAAACACTCATTTCTAAGCAGAAAACTCAGTTTGGTAATATATTAAGAATAGGAACTATGAAGGAATTTCCACTGTAAACTGTGTACTTACCCAAGGAATTGTCTCTGGCCTCAGCAGTGCTGAATGAGAACACCACACAATTTCCTCAGCTCTAGGGTTCAATCCTCAATGTATGCAGAAGATAGATCCACCGGTTGAAGAGCCAGAATGTGTGGAAACACTCTCTATCTGCTCTGGTGAAGAATGCACCAGGCTAAGCTCTGGTGTGTCCTTATATATTCTCTAAAGACCACGCCCACTTCCTCCCATGGTTGCTTTCATGAACACATCCCATTGGTGGCCATTTGTCAGTACCAGTGTTCTGACTGGATGGAAGATTGAATTAACTCTGAGGCCAAACTCCACAAGCAAATCTCCACAACAAGCTTCCCTGAGGGACTGCTTAGCTGATCCAGAGAATCTGAGTTCAAGTCCTAGTAAGAACATGGTGACTAAAACCATCTGTAATGAGATCTGGTGTCTTCTGGAGTGCAGGCAAAAATAATGCATAAAAAATATGCATAATAAATAAATGAATCTTCAAATAATCTTAATAGCTCATTGAGAATTTTGTACACTTTATTTTGATCACATTCATATCAACTGCAAATCCTTCCAAATTCATTCCCTTTACTAAAACACTCAACTTTTTCTTTTAAAAACAAGGGAATGAATATGGAAATTTCCAATACTGAACTTTCAAACTGTAAAAGCACATCACAGTACTTCCATCCTGAGACCACATAACAAATCCCAAATATTTTTCTCCCATGTATATAACCTGTAGATATGATTGGGTTATCATGTTTCATGCATCTTCTTTCTTTCTTTCTTTCTTTTTTTTTTTTTTTTTTTTTTGGTTTTTCGAGACAGGGTTTCTCTGTAGCTTTGGAGCCTGTCCTGGAACTCCCTTTGTAGACCAGGCTGGCCTCTAACTCACAGAGATCTGCCTGCCTCTGCCTCCCGAGTGCTGGGATTAAAGGCATGTGCCACCACCGCCCGGCTTGTTTCATGCATCTTCTAATTTTATTTCAACATGTGGGTTAAAGTCAGACTTTGTATGGTTGGATTCAATGCTGTCTCTGAGAGCTTGTTACAACCAATTAGGTGGGAATAATTATCTAAGATTTTCCAGTAGGTATACAATCAATTGCATCCAGATGAAATAGAAAGATCGTCTCTCTTGAGTGTAAACCTGTGGCTATGACCATTTCAATATTTTTAGCTTTTTCATTATAAGTTTTCCTACCTTTTAAAAAATACAAATCTAGAGATCATATGGATGATAAGTAAATGAAATGATAGTGGTGAGGCTGAATCTTTCTTTCCTCGACAGATAACACAATGTATGCATTCCAGTTGAGTCCTAGATCTAGACCAACTAATATTTGATTCCATTGTTAAGACATGATGTGGGATTCCCCTCTGTATGCTGTGAATACCACTGGTTAATAAAGGACTGGCTTGCGCCTGTGCAGGGTAGAATAGAGGTAGGTGGGGGAAACTAAACTGATGCTGAGAGAAGAGGGGCTGAGTTAGTGAGAAGCTATGGAGTCAAAACTGGAGACAGAGGCAGAAGGTGAAGCAGGTTGTACTCTATTCACATAGGAAAGCTCTACAAGTTTGACAAGACCAGCTACCTCATTTAGGGTTTTATGGGTAAGTTACATGTCATTTTGATATTTTTCCCATCACCATTGTACACATCCCTTGTAATTTGTCTTAACATACTTATAGCTTTTGTGTTCTCTAAATACTATACCCATCTCAAAAACTGACATACCACATAAATAATGCTAAAATGCTTTTGGCTCAGCCCTCCTTATTATTTATATCTCTCATTCTTTTGATCTCAGGATTGCTCAAACATTAATTTATCTTTGATTTGGTTTTCTACAAAAGCAAACAAAACATGAGATTACCAATCTAGTTTTAAAAAGCCTAGTAATGCTCATTTAATAGTTCTTAGAAAAGAAGCATTAGACCTTTCAGGCAGTCACTTACAGAAGACCAAAACTGTGCAAATGCAGAAATCAACAGATCATGGGGATCCCATCCATATCTATATATAGATCTATATCCTAGCTCCTGCATCAATGGTTCCAGAAACATTGTGGAAGAAGGGGGTCAGAAAGACAGTATGAGGCAGAACGCTAGGAAGTCTACTGTGAAACTCTCTCTCTCCTAGGAATGGCTTTATAAACCAGAAAAGAATAATGAATATGTAGATGTGGAAGCAGAAAACTTTTTGAAGAGAGTCACCCCTAAACCAAGAATTATTCTCTATCAGGGATGGGCTCACTCACTGTTCACAAAATACAACGTGGGCAGACCTTGTGAAATTGACTAAAACCCAAGAAGTGACTTTTCCTTTGAGAGATTTTTCTGGGTTGAATCATTTGAAGTAAACAGACCCAACTTAATCCAGATCTTTTGAGGTGTGAGAATGCATCTAAATCTCGGCCACACTTTCTTGTGGCAGCTTTGCAAGGGATGTTTTCCTTTTCCTTTTTGTTTTTTCAAGACAAGCTTTCTCCGTGTATCTTTGATTGTACAGAAACTGTTTGTTGACCAGGCCGGCCTCGACCTCACAGTGATCCATTGTCTCAGCCTCCTGAATGCTGTGATTACAGGTGTGTGTCACCACGCCTGGCCTATGGATTTTTCTTGGTTGAATCATTTGAAGTGGACAGATTCAACTAAAACCCAGTCTTTTGAATTGTGAGAATGCATCTCCAATCTTGGTCACACCTTCTGGTGTCAGCCTAGAAAAAGAAATGTGTAAAAAGAATAGAGGGAGAAGATGATGTGATTTTACTTCAACTAACAACATATTAGAAAGAAAGGATGAAAATGAGGCATCCAGGTGCAAAGCAATCCACAGTACCTGGCTGGGCTACTGTGG